CTACACTGAGTAAGGAGACAGATAGTTCAAGGCTTTTTGGCTGACAGGCAGAGAAGGTTGTTGCTTTTCCTGTGTATGGGGGGCAGAGTAGTTGGCACGATCCTGTGCACTGAAAGCCCAGGGGCCCCTGCTTAGTCAGCTACCGCCGGTCAGCTACCACCACTTTTGGCTCTGCCTGCCCCACCTTCAGCACTTGGCGTCCTCAGGAGAGCTATGACCTTCACGGGTGCAAGAGCTATGCCTCTGCGACAGGCCAGTCAGTGCAAATCAGAAGGTGAGCTGCAAATTGTTTCTCTTCAACAGACATTTCACCGCCAACTTTTTTCTCTTGTGGAGTCACCCATCTAAATATTATCTCGGATCCTAACTTTACTTGGCTACTTAATTCTGAGCCCCTGTGCCCCCAGGCTGCCCAGCGCTGTTGGGGCAGTGTGACAGCCCTGCAGCGTGCCAATAGCATCTCCCACCTCCGCTCCCAAAGGGGATGCTAACAAACAGCATCAGCACTGCAAAGCCCCTTCCTCTAGGGTCACTGAGCAACTGCCTCCTGGATTTAGACTTGGAGTTTAACAAGGGTGTCAAGGAGAGGAAACGCAGATGAGGAACGAGAATGAGCAAACTCCTCAGAGTGTGATAAAGGGCCCATTCATAAAAAGTTATACACCATTTAAAGGCTGGGTTTTCACACACTTCCCTGGGAAAATATGCAGTGCACATGTATTTTTTTCTCTCCGCAAGAAGCCCGTGCTTTCACAATTCACACTAATCCCCCTCCCCGCCCCCTGCTGAATTGCCGTCTGTCTGCCTCTTCCGAGCTAATTTCATGGGCTCAGCCCCTTGCGGGAGCTGTAGCCACTCATGCAGCGTCTCCTTCCAGATGGAAACACTCGCGAGTCCACCTGCACTAGGGGGACGGGGAGGTGCTTGGCTTCTGAAATACCTTTAAATTACTCGGCAGAAAAAATAAATAACGAGGAGCTAAGTTGCAGCTGCTGGAGCAAAGTTACCTGACGCATGTGCAGCAGAAAACGGCAATAAATGCTGCCAGCCCCAAAACAGGCAGGAAGCAGTAAAACGGGCTGCCAACTCTGCGCTGAAAGGTTCTGTACAGAACCCTCCGGAGAGCAGCACGGCTTCAGCCTCAGCACCTCACCTGGTACCAGGTATGGGACACCCCGGGAGGCCGAGGGGAGTGCCCAGAGCTCCCCAGGCCCGCTGGCCTCAGCCCTGTCCTGTGTGGCAGCACGGGGCGCAGCGCTTCTGACGCAGCTGGAGATGCCGCCCGCACAGCCTGCCGGCTGCCTGCCTTCCCAGCAGAAGGGGCTGTTTGCAGCTCAGCATTTTACACGTTGGGACACCGAGGTTAGGGGACGGAGTGAGGATCAGAGCTGGTGACAAAGCAGGTGGGACTCCTGACTGCCCACTCAGGGTGACTGGCAGTTATGATGGCAGGAGGCAGAGGAATAGGGAGGCCACAGAGGAGCTGCACCTCCTTGAGATCTTTGGGAGCAGGAGCAGAGGAGAGCCCTTGCGCAGCTTGACATTCTAGTACAGGACTTGCTAGACCATGCCTAGGAATACAGAGGCTCAAAGTACAGGCTACGGTGTATTTGTAAACACAAATGCTTGAGAAATAATGGCAGGAGCTTGGGCCGGGAGCTGTACGGGCATTCTGACAGTTCCACCCCAGGCTTAGGAAAAAGCAATAACAAAACTCCAGAGACCACATTTCTAGTCCCAGCCATGCCTCTGTCTCACTTCCCTCTCTGCCTCACTTCTCAAGCTGGAAAAGGAAGGAGTAGCGTCTTTACTACCGAAGGCTTAGAGTATGAATCATTCGGTGTGAATACGGCACACCGGCATTTCTGGATGGAGACACTGATGGATGGCCACTGCACTGGCCAGATGTAGGCTCCTCCCAGGTGAAGAAAGGTTTGTTTCTGTTTGCTTCCCCCCACCCCCCTAAGCATCATGAAGAACCCACAAAATGCAATTAAAAGAAAACAGCTACTCACCCAGTAACGGAGCCTTCCGCCAGTAGCCATCACGCACCTCCACATAATCATACCAGCAAAGGCGACTTTTAAATAGGTCCATTGATGTGAAGTTTAACATAATCTGAAAGGAGAACATACACACTTCTCTTTGGGAAGGGAGATACTTCAAAGAGAAGACCCTACAGATTACGTGTGTCACCTCTGCTACAGTGCTACCTAAGCAGGTACACAGGGAAAGACAGTTGGACAGCTGGTGGGATTTTTTAACCAGCTTCCCTCACAAAAGAAAGGCTTCTCAAGGTATTCTAACAAAACCATGAAAGTAAATGACAGCAGACAGCACTTTACTACCCATTCGGTAATTCAGTCACTGCTCCTTAGTTACTAAAATGCTACTTAAAAAAAGCCCAGTTTGGGTTTTTTAAAATTAAAAATTGAATCTTTGGGTTTGATTAATGTGAATATCATAGAGAAACACATTGCCCAGAAACACACTGCCCCAAAACACAGATATTTGGGGGTTATACCCTTATATAAATGACACTTGTAAGCAATAGCTAATTTTGCTGACAAGTTTCCCCATTCAGACAATTGCACTCTGTGAGGTAATTGTGTCCAGTGGCTTTACCAAGCAGAGCTTAGCATTCAGATTTTATCCCTTTGGTCTCCTTCCTCTGTAACATGGATTACAGACCTTGCTCCGGGCCTATGGAAGTCACTGGTGGGGTGTACTTGCGGCATTTTTGTCCTTGCAAGATTTGACCCACGTATGAATTTACATCTATTGTCTGCCACAGAAATGTCATTAGATTAAAACAGCTATTCTCCCCCAGAGCTCTGGCTGGCCGTGCAGAGCGCAGTTGGGAATGGTGTCACTCACTTCGTTCGCACTTTTCTGGCTTGGGATAGCAAAAGGAGATTCACCTGCTTCTGTGCAGATGAATACTGCAAGCCCAGTTTCTGTTCCAAGCTAATGCCTCAGTGCTATGATGCTACTTTGTACCAATTGCTCCATTTGATTAAACAGATAAGTTGAAGCATTTAATCTGAACTTGACTTTTTTTTTTTTTAAACAGTAATGGTTCAGCATTTAGATGCTGGGTCCTATCCTATCCTATCCTATCCTATCCCAACTCTTCTGAAGAGGCTGAGAGATCAAGGGAGAGTTTACAGTAAGATTTGCACTGCAAAACTCCCAGTGCCACAGTTTCAAAACCTGGATGGTTCTTGGCATCTCTGCCCCTGGCGAAGCTCTCTCCACTGCTAACGGTGGGAGCTCAGCACTGCATGGGACTGGGCTTGCAGGTGACAGAACCAGGTCCCAGAGCAAGATGGCTGCTGCAAAATGAGTAAGCTCTGCTCTTCTTTGTTCGAGTCCGAGTCTTAAGTGCGTCTCAAGGGTGGTCCTCAGCAAAGCCACTCTGCCGAGGAGCTCCCAAGCCGGGCTGCGCATTCTTGCAGCCTGGTATGGCATGAAAGGACTGAAGGGCTGATGTCAGTGGATTAAGGAAAGATTTCATTTCCACAGGAAGATCAATAAAACGAAAGGAGCTGGGAAGAAGGTGAACAAGGTGGGTGATAGATGTGCAGTGGGGCTGAGTTCCAAGGTGGGGAGCGGGAGTCCCCCAACAGGGACATTATGCCTGCATGACAGCGGCAGGCCACTGATGTCACCCACAGCTCCTTGGCTCCCTTTGGGACCCCAGCTGGCTGGCACATTTTATCTAACTCATCTGATTGGCACCTGGCTTTGAAAGGCGAGCTCGGCCAGAGGCACAGGGTGGCAGGAAATGTCCATGTGGGATTCAGCCTCTAATAGAGAGGAAGGATCAGAGATCAACACACAGCCCAGACCTGGGAAGAGTCTCTGCTCCAGCATTGCCTATTCTCTCCTCAGGACCACGTATTCCCAACCCCATCGCTGGGAGGACAGCGATGGTGCTCAGGAGCCTTTTCAGGCTCCATCCCTGCACTCCAGGCACACGGAGATCTTTTGGCAGCTGCTAACACTCTCATCACAGGCAAAACCACACACAAAGGAAGCCCAGAGCCCACCTTGTGGCACCTACCTTCTCCCCTGGGGTCACCGAGATCCTCCAGACACAGTGGGAATAGGAAGGGTAGCCATTTGGAAAGCCAGGGGCTGAGAAATTCCCTGTTGAGTCCTGCAAGGTCTCTCCACAAGCTGCAGGAGAAGTGCGGGGAAAAAACCCAGCAACAAGGAGTGAGTCTCTGGAAGACAGCAGGGTCTACCAGTGTTTGCACATGGCTGCTGTGTGCAGATTGGTGGCTGGTACTCTAAGGATGTTCATTCATGGTACTGGCCAAAGGTCATTGATCACCTGAGACCTTGCAAAGGGGTGATGTGAAATTTGTCAGAATTCCCAGGATAGAAGATGATCAGTGCAAGGATACAGGGGAAACAGCTTTTAAAGAGGCACCCTTCTTCCTTCATTTTCCTTCCACACACCAGCACTTTCAGGTTTCAACCCTAGTGAGGAAAATCTCATCCACTAATCAAATGCGAAATATTAACCCCAGGACACCTCGCAACCCCAAGACTGCTGCCAGCAAATCTGTTTTCCCTTCATTACAAGCTGCTTAATGAAGTTCTCCTCCTTAGTTACCATTGTTCAGTGTCTTTTGGGGGGGTTAAAACATCCTAACAAAAGCAGGGCAAGCCCCACTGCCCTCATGCTTTGGCCGTCCAGCACCGACCCTGCTGTCACACTGTACAGGATAAAACGTGAGCACTGTAGCTCACCCCACTCTCCACCTTCCTGTTTTTGTGGCCTGCTGCCGCTGATGAAATGTAGATCCCAGAGCGACTTTTGGGAAGCAAGTAATATGCACACACATATGCTCCTTTAGGGAACCACAGCTTCCAACATCTGGGAAAGCTGCAACTACTGTAGTTCCTGCTCTCTGAGCCAGGAGGACGGAGCTGGAACAAGGAGTGACCATCTACATCTGCAAAGCAGCTGACTGGCTAGGTGGGAGGATCACAAATATCAAATCTCCCATTTCCTTCAGAGTGCTCACTAGACACGTGCAGATACCTATCGCAAGGAGCAGGGACCTTGGCTTGCCTGCTTTCCAGTTGTTTTTCCAATTTCATAACCCGACAATGTTATAAAGCTGCCCTTGACCTGCAACTTGGTTTCCTCAGTGACGGTAAGGCAGCTCCCAAATATCCCTCATTAAGCAGCAGTGCTTTGAAAGATCGGACAAGGCTGAACATCTGGCTCCCTTTCTCATGGAAATGCCAGGGGATGTTCCTCTGCCTGATGCTATCACACACTCACTAATTTTTCAGCCATGATTACATTTAGGTGGGTGGGTCGGAAGTTGGAGGTGAAAAGAGACTGGTCCCATTCAAAAAGTTTAATATCTTCAAAAAGGGGAGAGGCAGTCACCTAGGCCAGAATTTCTTAATTTCCCTGAAGTAGTTTGATCCACAGCTTGACAGATCAGACTGGATGAACAATAGGCGGGGACACAAAAAGGGGCTTTGCCCAACCAAACAGCTCATAGGGGTGCTCTGGAAGGTGGAGTCACTCCTAGCAACAAGCTGCACATATTTCAAGGCACAGGTCAGCATGCGATCTGGCAAAGCAATTCCTATCAGGAAAGTCAAAGATATTTTAAACTAGCACAAAAAAGCACCACTGAGCAAAATGGGCAGGTAAACGCACACATCTGCCCCAGAGGAACAAAGAAAATAAATGAAAGGTCAAAACCTCTGCATCGCTCCTTCCTTCTCAAGCCATTTTGAGCCCCTAAAAGCCCCCAAACCATTACACAACTACAAAGGAACACTGCACAGCAAGTTTTAGCTTCAATTCTGCAGAAATAGCTAATATCCTCCCACCTCTCCCAAAATGTTTGGCATGTGATGCTGTTTTCTTCAGGTGGGCAGAGAGAGATGCTTGTAAAAGGTGATGACCTGCATGAACTGGAGAAGAAACCTGGAGTTTTATTTGCAGAATAAATACACTTTCTTCCTTTCTACCTCTTGCAAAGATGCCTTGCCTTGTCATCTGTGTCAGAATCTGTCAGGATAGTTCCAGCTCCCAGGATGCTCGTAGGACCCTCAAGCAGGAAACGCACGCTGCCCCAGCAGATAAACATCTCAAAGAAGCTGAGTCCCAGCCAGGCTTATTTTCTGAGGACAGCAAGCCATTCTTCAGGTGACCCTCTGGCATCACCACTGGTCAGTGCATGGCCTGGAGTGACCACCACCTTGGGATGGTCTAGGAATGCCAACATCTGACAAGGTGTCCCAATAAAGAGGGGATTCCAATCCACAACTCACCAAGATAAAGCAATGTTCTTTTTCTCTGCTCAAAAATCTATTTAAACAAATATGAAATGATAGAGAGAGCTCTAAATCACTGGGAACACAGACTACATGACCATAATGACACCAGACAAAGAGGATTACTGCCCTCAGCTGAACCACAGTGAAGATTTCTGACAGCCCAGACTTAATTCTCCTAAGTGTGATTACACAGATCCTGGCAAGACTATGTAGTTATGGAACAGGTACTAACGTACCTACTACCTATCCGAACCTTGCTACCTATCCAAACCTTGCAGAGGAAGTTCTCCAGACACACTGGGAGAGGCTGGCCTTTCAGTGCAGAGGAGGGTGGTTGTTTGCGCGGGCAGGGGGAAGTATGATAATAACGAGCAATGCATATTTGTGAGTCAAGCACAATCTCTTGCAGAGCACACCAAAAAGCAATACAACTGTACTCCGCTTAGTAGCAAAGAAGCCAACAGGTCCAATAAGACTAGTGTTTGGTAATTCTGGGATCCAAGAACCTGTGCTGAGGTGGTTTTCGCCCACGGTGAAGAGGCTGTTGCACACATAAGCAGCTAGAAAGGAACAGAGGCAAAAAGCAAAGTAGAAAAGGTGAATGCTTCAGAAGTAATTTGTAAATTAAGCCATTGAGTGACAGGCACTTACTGCTCATCACCTGGTTACTGGTACACTGCATCTTTTTGAAAATGCACAGAGAATTGGATGGGATGATACAATGCAGGACCATCCTCAATTTATAGTTTAACCATCCCTGCACAGTCAGCACAGCCACACTGTGGCTTCAGCACAGCACTTCCCTTCAGCACGGCACAAGACGACAGGACGTACTGCTTTAAAGTCTTTTGTAGTGACTATATTCATCAAATCCTCAACAATGCAGCCATAGCAAATCTAGCATTTACTACTATGTAGCAGAATGCATCTTGCCTTTCAGAAATTCCTTCAGCAAATTTCATTTGGTTTCACCTGGCTTGGCACTAACTTCAACCCAGCAGGTATAAGCTTTGGGGAATTAAGAGCAATTTAAAACAGCAGGGTTTTAGAATGGAAAAGCTAAGCCAGCCCTAACTGCAGCAGCCACAAGAGCTCCAGTCTAATGAGTTGGAGAGCCCTGGTTTTTTACAATAGACACAGCAGTCGTCCTGGCTCATACCAGTGCATGCTTGTAACTCATCCTCCATCATGCTAGCTCTTTTTTGGGGGGATTTTCTCAGGCATTCTCAGATGGAGACTTTCTTTCTAAAAGGGAAACCATATGTCATTCAACTTCTAGATTATGTTTGTTGTGTTTTACCTAAAAATCCTCAGCTTGACTACTGAACAAAGTTGTCCTTAACCTTAGGTCTCACTCAGACCCTGCTTGAGCATACAGTTGCAGTCCTTTGGTTTTGAACTCCTGTGCTTTGCATTTTGCAGAGGAAGAGAAATTTTCAAGCTACAGAGTCAAATGGCATCTGAAGATGTTAATGTAATTAAATATGCTTCTCTTCACATGCAACCTGTATATAAATTTTGATGCAAAGAAAAAAAGAAAAACAAATCAAAACAATAGATATTTGAAGAAAATATGTTTAGTAGGCTTAAAGCTCTAATCATTCTGCTGCCAAATATGTTCTGAACTGCAATAACCTCTGCTAAAGCTTTGCAGAAAAGACCCTAAAAGGTACAAAAGTTCTACTTTGCAAGTGGAAAACTTGAGACTCAGAAGGGCCCTCATTTAAAGAGAGTTGCTTTGTAGCTTTTAGTTTGACTTCAACCTCAGGCCAAAGTGGCTTTTCAAGCTTGCCTTGAGAAATCTCAATCTGTAGGTGATGCTTCCAGCTATGGGAATGAAAAGCTTGCTTGGATTAAGTCTGATTCAATCAAAAAAACATCGTGCAAGACATCCATTTTTTTGTTGGTTTTTTTTTTTAGTATTCAAACAAACCAATCCCTAAACTAATCCATGAGATAATTTTCCAAGACATACAACTTGTTCAACCAAAAGCAAATTAAAGAAAATTACAAGTGGTAAAAAGAAAAAAAAAGTTAATTAGAACTAGCACACCTAAGAAAGTGATACCAGTCACTATAAGCTAAGCAGTGATCTCTAAACATCACAGATCCTAAAGTCCTCAGAATTTATTCTAGACCCTTATGAACCCAAGCTCTCTGACCTGTAGCTGGATACAGAGAAGCAGCGGATTTGCACACCAGCTATCAACCACTTTCCACGGCCTCCACAGTGGTTCACAGCGCAGTGCTGGCCAGCCACTCGCCGAGATGTGTCTCTCTATACTGGTAAAACTTATCCCTCCTCCTCACCTTCACCTCTCTCCCTGTGATATGCTTATTCCAAGAAGATTAATAATTTATGATCATATTAGCTTTATGATCAGTCAAAGCCACTCTCAACTGGACCTATATGCTGGCCAGACCAACCCATTTAGATAAACACCTTGGCCATGCTCGCAAAAGTCCTTTTTTTCTTCCCTTCTTACGAATGTTACAGAGTCATTCTGCAAAATCAGGGCAACTCTCTCATTCTCCAGTCTCTTCTCACAGATATTTCATTCCTGCAGAAATTCAACAGAGCATGTTAAAGTTTCTACCTCCAAGCATCACTCCTCCCATGCTACCTCCCATCTCAGTCACCACAGTCCATGCCACAGGCACCAGATTGGGTGCCGTCTTTGCTTGAAGCCTCTCTTTACATCCTCACATTGAACCTGTCCTTACATCTGGCAGATTGCTTTTATGAAATCTGGTTTACTCTGTGAACCTATTCAGCTAAATCTGTCGCATAAACTTTCACTGCCTCACATCTCCACTTTAAAAGGATCCTCTTGTTCTGATGGGTAAATTTAGTCTCCCAATCATATCTGTGACCCCAGTGCTCTTTTTGCCAATCTTTTCAGATCCCACATAAAGCAGGACCCAGGCTATTGGTCTTTAGTATGTCACACATATGTAGATGGGTTCTCTACCAAAGCTGTTTCCAGTCTATCAACCCTTCTGCAGCAGAAAGAGGGATGCAGCCCTCCCCTGAACAGCACGAGGCACCAGCTTCCAGCACCTGGTTGTTTCACAAATTGGCATCTTTGAGCTTTCTGCCATGCTATCTCCCGAGCCCCAGTGCAACACACCATAATCACAGATACACACTTATCTTAAGGCTCATCTCAGGGACAAAAACTATATAAGTAACTCAACAGAAGTTTGATGGTTGATGTGTAGAGACCCCAGCCCACCAGCTATCCCTCTGCTACTTTGCTAACTCCTAGTCCCCACTCTGTCCACAGTCTTGTACATCCATTTCATTTTCTGTGAAGAGAGCCTACACCAGAACAACCTGAAGCCCTAAACCAAACAGGAATACTGGTGAAGTACTAATAGGAGACACATGTTAGGCAAGTTCAATTCTCCCACAGCTCCAGCCTGAAGCATTTGATGGTCTACATTTCCTGAGCCTCTTTCATCAAAGGGATCTTTACGGTGCTCTTGAACTCCAATGCCTTCCAGACAAACCATGTGTCTACAATAAAGCTGGAGCCATCTCCACAAGCCATATTTACCTGGGCATTTGTACAACTTCCTCGCCTGAGCGATGTCTCCCTGACTCAGGCGAATACGCTGACCAATAGTTGGCCGGACCCCGTTATCATCACGACGGGGGAGGATGGTGTCGAGGAAAACCCCTCTGAAGGGAAGAACAGAGAGACAAAGAGCAGTGAAGCAGGGAAAGTGACACGATGCACAGAAAGTCATCCTGGCAGGCCTCCCATGCCATCCCCTTGACCATATATCCCACGCTAACAAGCAAGAGTAATGCAGACAGTGACGTCTTGAGGTGGCCTTCTTGCTGCAGCAGATAGCTTCCAAATGTACAGGCAAGTCTGCCAAGCCAGTAAATTCCTCTTTTAATATATCAAGGCTGCTGCTGCCTCTGTTTGAGTATAGACGCATTCCTTGCCATAAATCAGAAAAGGCAATGAAATATTCTTGCAGAAGGTTCATGGTACATCTGGCTCAGCAGGAGCCCAGATTGGACACTTAAGCCAAAGGAGCAGAGGGAAGGGGAGTTTGTTCAGTAGCAGATGGGGTTGGGCTGGCAGTGACTGTGGTTGCCATAGACAAGAGAAAAAGATCAAGTGCTCTACTTTTGTCCTGCATCAGTTTCCAAGCTAATAACTCCACTTCTCTCTGCCTCTTTTTCCTCACTACTATTTCTTCCATGTGGTAATTCATACCCAGGAGCTCTCTACTGCACTTCTGATCTCAGTCCAGTAAAGGATTTAAGCTCGGTCCTCACTTCCATCAAAATGTAAAGTCCATGCATCCAAGCAAGAGCTTGCACGCAAGACAGACCCCAAGGCAGCATTAGGACTGCAGGGCTAAAGTGGGAGGGAGGAATCAGAAACCTGAACTCCAGGCTAGTAAAGTCCAAGCTCTCGCAGCCAGACTGCCCAGTCCAGAGGAACCATTTCACTGCACCCCCGAATGCCTAACAGGCTTGGAGGTGCCAAGGCTAACAGTGAGCTTGAGACTTCAGCATCAGCTCAGTGTGGCAGACTTCTCTTTCTGAAGGACAGGATACAAGTGTCCATAGAGTCCGACAGGAAATCAGGGCAGAAGCAATCATTTCAGTGCTGCCTAGTCCTGATACAAGAGTCTTCAAGTACGGGTTAAGCTCTGAGTACACAGGTAATTCTGGTCATTGGCTGCTCATCTGCGTAAAAGCATTGGGAAGGAGCTTGAGAGGGTATTTTTGGTATATTGGTTTAATTTGAAATAAATACTGCAAGCAGAGTATTTGGATCACAGCTGTCCAGAGCTGCAGCCAATGTTCGTGAACAGAAAATATCATTCTATTAAACATACTTTGTTAGGGAAAATTATTTTGTAAATATTCAAACTGAAGGAAGAAATAGAGGGGAAGGAGTTAAATCTGTTTTAAAAACTAGAATTAACTCTTGCATGGGGGATGTTGGGTTTTTTTCAGTGGTAGGAAAATTCCTGATTAGCACTAACGTCAGTGCTTACAAGCTCTGAGGTGAGCCCATCAAGTTTTGACTGACAAATTCAGGCTGGCATTCTATGTCAGCTGCATGCCTCAGGCTGAATTTATGTGAGTTTATGTATCAAAAATAAATCATCCAATTCCAGAAACACCACAAACAGAGAAACAGGTCTGTTTGCTCACAGTAAGTTTTCAAGCCTCCTCAGGAGTTCACAGAAGAACTCAGCATTTGGCAGGGACATACTTCTGTGGCCGGTGAAATGCCTTCTGCAGATCTCCAGGCTCAACCAGGGAAGAAAGACAAAGTTTAACAGAGAAACCACCACTTGCACACTCAAATTTTTGATTCTTTTTCCCATTCCAGCCCTCACAACTGCGTACTCACAGCCCCCAGCCTCCTGCACACAGTGTACACCTAGGGTAAGGCTCACACAACACCAACAACCCACGGCTTCACATTGCCCTGGGATCCCTTATTACCTGCCAAACACATTTTCTTCCAGAAGGCTGTACCCACGGTTGGGCCAGTAACATTTCTGGTTTTGCTTCTTCCACCAACTGAATTTTATGCTTCCTTCCCATGCATTGCTGAACATGACTCCAAATGAAGAGGCAGTAAGTACAGTTCCTCCCATTTTACAGTCAAAGGAACCGAGAACAACACAGAGTCTTTCTGGCCTAAACCACAAGGGTCCCAGCAACCCCGTGCTGTTCACCCCAACCCCATCTGCTTAACAACACTTCATGATGTTAAGTTGCACACTTGGTGAGCATCTCCTGCTGTCCAGGCATGGTCAGAGCTGCCCAATGCAGTTCTAAGTCAAGCAAAACAACCCTGTTACTAGCTAAGAAGAACAGAGTTTAAGCAGAGATGCTCTCAAGAGTCATTAGCACCCACATAGTGCCCTGAATGTGTGAAGTGTTGTGTAAACATTATGAAATTATCAACTGATATTAAGAAATGCTGAATATTCACCGTCCCATCTGAGGGCAACAGATACAGGTGCTTTAAACACCACTCAGGGAAGCAGATGCTCGAGGGAGGTTAAGGACTCAGCTGCAGGCAGCTTCTGTATTTACATCCCCATCTGCAGCAGACAGACAATATAATCCTACTTCACACAGTAAAACCTGTGGAGGACATAAATGCCATGTGCAGGGTTAGGATGATGTGTTGCCAAGACATCAAGAAGATGCCCCTTGACATGCATGCAGTGCTACCTGCGTCCTGATTCAAACGGGAGCTTTGCAGAGGTCATGTTTTGTAACTCCAGGCTGTGCTGCCACATCCACTAGCAAGAGGCTTAGTGAATTAAGGCAACCCGCTATTTGCTTAGGGCTCCATGGACATTTAAACTTTCTTATTGCTAAGCTGCTGTTTATGGGTCTTGACAGCAGTAAAAGAAATTGTTTAATGAGACAGCAATATTCAACTTAATTTGCTGCCATATATCTGTAAGGAATGCACCAGGAAACAAAAGCCTGCAGCCATACTCTGCAACATAGGCAACTTCCTGACACAGGTAAGAACAGAAGTTCCCATGGTAAGAACTTGTTACTGCTGCCATTACAGCCTCTTGGGCCGTACGCCTATTCCTATCAGCCACAGACGCAGATGAGAAACATGTTTCACCGTGAACTGAAAATGAGCGGTGACTCCTGCAGCAATTTTCAAAAGCATCACTGGAAATCATTTCCACCACTAGAACTCATTGTGTCTCTGAAAAACTGTCCCTTTATGTTCTAGGTACAAAGTCTAGAATAAAAAGGGCCTAGGATCTGCAGCAGCATTTGACCATGGCAAAACCTGTATGATTTGCTATCATCAGTATTCACAGAAGTCACCAACAACAAGGCTGGGCCAAGTGCCACTTAAGAGTTGCTTCAAGACAACAAGTCACAGACACGGCCCCGTGTCCTTTACCTCCTTGCTACACGTCCTATCTCCACTGGTGGGGTGCTCAGACCACCTTTTTCCTATGTGGACTTTCTGGTGTACGGTAATGTATTAACACACCCTCTATAGCAGTTCCCTCAGCAGCGTCATGCAGGGGCTATCTCCCATTCCTAGCCACCGATCTTAATGAAACTTGCTGGAACTTAATATCTTCATGGGCTCTACGAGTTTCTCTGTTTTGGTTGCAATTGGCCAGCAGCTGCAAACCTCAGTAAGGTGGGAAGGAGACATACATGCACTCACAAATCTCTACTGATAGGTCAAAGTAAGCATCGTTCCCTTAGGGGAGCAGATGCCAAGACAGGTCTTGGTAAAGCGAAAGCCTGTTCCCAACCCTGTCTCTTTATGGCGAGAGCACAATCAGCCCACAGAGGCACTCAGCGCTCAGTTCAATTACGGCACAAAGCCTGCTACTGGGGTGAGGGTGGGTCACGGAGACAAAGGGCTTAAAGAAAACAGACTTAAAAATCCTATTAAGCACCAATTTAAATTTAGAAGGACTCTTGCCATTTTTATCCCTTTTTGGCCCAGCAGTGTTTTGAAGGACCCTGGTTTTCAAGAGCCACAGATTCAAAGGCATCCACAATATAAATGGTGGTAATAACTTAATCCTGCTTTTGTGCAAGACCATTCTAACCATTTAGAGTCTAGCAAATGCTGGAAGGATCCAGCAGATACCTCAAGGGAAGAAAAATTGTTTGCTTTAGGTATCTGATCCAAAAAAATCTCTGAAGGCTGCAGAGCACCCTTGCCCAGCCACCATCTCCCCCTGCCAGAACAAGCAGCATTTCAGCAAGTTCAATAATTTTCCCCTGGTTCACATGAAGTTTCAGAAACAAAAGCACAAAACAATAGGCTTGGCAATTCCATACAACTGAGGACTAAAAAATTAATTTAATTTTTGCAACAAAAAGTTCTCAAGATTGTGAATATTTGCGCTCTGCCTCCCATTGCCTTTACGCACGCTATGTAGTGAAGGAAAGCTCTTGGGAAGGAGCAGTAGCGGGATTTATGGAAAACACTTCAAATAACGAAGCAAAATGAAGCTGGTCATCCAGGAGCTCTCCTTCCAAATCCAGGACATAAATAGCTATGCTCATTTCACCTCTCTATCCAGTAAAGCTGTCTGATCACAAAATGGGCTCCATCTGGAGGCATGAGATGGGTGTCAGGGGCAAACAGCCTACACAGAAATGGGTCAGTTAGTTGGGACAGGAACAGAACTCAAAACTGCTCCATGAAGAACCCAGTCATGTAGAATCACAGAGTTGCAGAGGCCTTGACCTAAAGCAAGTACATAAATGGTTAAAAAAATAGCCAAGCAATTAAAGACCATGATCTATACATTCTCCCTTAGCAAAGATGCTAGGGATCCGGAAGGCAATATTGTGACTCCAAAGCATGAGCTAGACAACTGAAAGATTCAAAGGTGGTTTTAGCGTTACCCCCTCAAAGGTGGGCAGACACTTATATATAGATGCTGTCTGGGAAGGTTGAAAAGTATGCTAACATGGCTTTGGAAGGTCTCTGAGATTATCAGCACTGGGTGAATATAGCAGGGAGGGGAAAACAGGAGTCTACCATACTTCTCTTCACCCGCCTTGCTTTTTTCAAATATTTCCCAAGCTTCACAATGCAGCAGAGCTCACTGCAACTGCCACACATCTCTGCAATAGATCACAGCTCTCCTTCTAGGCTTCACGTAGCCCACAGAGCTAATCACAACTACTGAAAATAGTCCTAAGGACATGTAACCTTGGATTATCACCTGGAGAACGTGTTCCGAGCATAGTGCATGATGCTGTCGAAGTCATAGGTCTCTCCCAGAGAGTTCACTTCCCCAGCTTCCATCTTTAAAAAGTTGTACTCCTGACCTGCGATGCCAAACACAAAGGGAAAAAAACAAATCACTTAAAAAAAAAAAAAAAAAAAAAGCCTTCCACCTCTGGGCGCCTAAAATGAAAGGGAGGAAGGGATATACTCCTACGTTCCAACAAATCCAGCTGGACATCCAAAAACCTGTATTCATCCAACTACTTTGACCCTTATTCTAGGCAAGGACCAGCAATATTTCTTCTTCTCCATCCCAGCTCACAGGCCACTGGGATTTTCCACAACTCCAGCAAGAAAGGTTTCTACCCACCCAAAAGCCAGGTGGAATAACCTGAAGTGCTATTTTACCTTGCTGTATATTCTCTCTGATGATCGTGACATGCTGGTCCCTGTCAGGCCGTGTGTGCTCATGCCAGAAGCCCACCACATGACCCAGCTCATGAGCCACGATACCAAACTTGTCACAGTTCTTCCCAATGGATATAGCCTGAGGGCCTCCTCCTCGGCGACCCACATATGAGCAGCATCTGGGAAAGAAAAGACATAAACCCATGCAGCACATCAATGGATCGGGGGAGTCTGAGACATAGCAACAGGAGATGGCATCTGGCAGGGTCCAGGACAGGCCAGTAGTTTCACACACTATATGTACTTACGTGTATGTGTGTGTACGTATAAAGAAAATTAGTAAGTGCACATCTATAAAAATACATATATACACTTAAGTGTTATCCCAGGAAAAAGAATCCAGAAAGGCTTAGCACCTTCTTCTGAGCAAATACTAAATTATCCTGGCAAACCTTACAGGGAATAAGGATGGACCTATGTGACAGACTCCCCAACATAGCCATCGCTTTATTCTGACCAGAGCTAGACTTACGAAGCCACCCATCAATGAAAAGGACGTCTGCAGCGCAGACAGCTGCAAGGAATGGGTGCATCACTTACCCGCACGTTCTGTACGTGAACACAATGAAACTCTCTTCATCAGTTCTCTCCACAAACGTCACACAAGTGTGCTTCTCCCAGTGCCTCATCGCTTGCTTAAAGATAGCTCTCTGGGTCCCTGGAAAAGAAATCCAAGACAAACAAACTGAAGGCCTGGCTTTCAGGAAAATATCTAACGGATGGACTTTGGATAGGGGAACAGTCAATCTTTCCAACAGTCAATCTTACACTTTTAGACACCTCTATGAACCTGGGACCTGCTTCCTATTGAAGTGCTAACTCACTGTATCATACTTCTCTTCTGTTTGATGAACTCATTGCTCTAATTAAACAAGTAGCAAACTTGGTTAAGCACATTAATACTTCTTCAGATGATAAATGTCACTGCAGGTAGAGGTCATTCTGGCAGAGCTGCTAGATGTTCTGATCTCAGCACCAGCTACTTGGTGGCGTGCCAGATTCACTCTCATGCTGCAGCATAACATGACCACACAGAGCTTTCAAGACCCAGGAATCTCATGAGTGCTACAGATGCTACTCAAAACTGTCACCAGGTATTTAAAATTAGAAGCAAAAACTATCTAGGAGGTAGAGGCAGTCTCAGGGCAGTGTAAGAAGGTATGGATGTAGACTGCTGCACCGCGCTTGAACTGGTGGACAGCTCAGGACAGAGAGACATCTGAGAAGTAGGGCTGGATGCCTGTTGCACACCAGCAAGATGACAGGCCACAGGACCTTCCCTCCCCAGGGAGCAGGATATCCCCAGTGGTCACTCAGCAGCATCCAGAGCAGTCACACAGACAGCTAGGAAGCGATGCCCCAGAGCGGTACGTGGCCAGGAGGCCTCCCTGCGCTGCCCTTCCAGCATAGCCTCTGCACACAGAGCTGCAGAGCAAGCTGCCGCTCTCGAGAGGGACTAGAGAGGGGGGAAAGGCCAGAAGTACATCAGAAGGGCACAGGGAACACAGACAGGAGCTCCAGGGCAGGATTAAGCTGAAGCAAAACACCAAGCTGAACCCAAAAGAGAACTGTGCTGTGGTGAGAGCTGCTTCTGGCGTTACCTACTCTGGACTGATTAGGGCAGTGGGGTACATATAACACAGAGAAGAATTTCTCATCAGACCTTGAGGGATGGGGGTGGCTGTTCTCTGACAAATGTAGGGTGACAGTTGTGGCTAGCAGGCTACTCAATATCCTGCCAGGTTGCATGAGCCCCTCCTTTTGTAGGAGGTGAACAGAACCTTCCACGGGGCTTCACAGACTCCTGGCAGCAGTGTGGGTGCCAGTATGAGACAGGGTCTGGGTCAACATGTTAAAGAGGTCTTGAGGATTGCCTCAAACTGTCAGGAGGGGCAGGACTGGGGAGGCAAACCCATACTGTACAGGAGTGGTTCCCAAACTGTCCTTTGCTGCTGGGACAAAGTACATCACAGGAGCTCAAAGGAGTAAGTTCTGCTGGATCTAAGTGGGACATGGTGGAGGCAGCCTGTGGAAGGCAGGAGGGAGCTGGCTCCAGCGAGGCACCGAGCATTCGTCATCCACGAGTCAAGGAAACCAAGCCCACCAGGAACCACTGAGCTACAGAGAGGTGGCATCAGAGCAAGTGGTCTGTCTGCTGCACATGAAAGACTTGCAAGAGATCTGCTGCACCCCAAGAGACATCTTAGCTTGGACAGTGCCCCAGAGATGCTATAAATATCCTAAACAGGATACTCCAGAGAGCTTCTCATCCACCATGGGACCCAGCTCACTGTTCCTCTCCCTCACACAGCTGGAGGAGACCCTGAGTTTTGGTGCCCAGAAAACAGCAGGTCAGGAAGCAGAGTGCACAGGAGAAGTTCTCTGAGTGAGGATTCAGAAAGCAACCCACTGTACTTCTGCTCCTGTTCTTCCACCAGCAGAGAGGATCCCTTTCTGGAAACACAGGGTGTGAGCGCCGCTCACAAGTGCTGGCCCCTGAAGCAATCAAGAAAAGTGACCAAGTCACCCAATTATTTCTTGGACTCCAAGAGACGAACCATCTCTCTGCACACTGAACTCTCAGGCTTCCACAGTGCACAATTCCTTGTGCAACCACATGCCCACCCTGCCTCAGAAGAGAGGCTCCCAAGGACCAGAGTCATTTGTGGGAAAACTCCGTTCCCGAGGTCTCCCACACATTTTGAGACACTCACCCCTGAGCAAACAGGGAGCAACGTTTTCACTACTGACCAGTGAAATTTCCTCCGATCACATAGGGGATGACCCCCCCTGGCCAGATCCTCTCAGCCCTGGATGTGGTTGCCCTGCGCACTCTGGGAGAGGAGTGTGTATCCATCCCAGACTCATCTTTAAATTCCTTCCTCTTCGGTCTCCTCGCAAGCGTTGTGTTCTGCCTGCCGTCTGCAAGACAGAGTGGCAAGACTGTTTAAATCCTCTTTAGCTCCACGTGCAGCCCTCAGGTAATACCCTGGAGCTTCAGAAAAAGAAAAACAGAAAAAGAAAGATGTTAATCCAAACCAGAAGCCATAGCCAGATTTGCCAGTGATTTCTTTGGGACTTAGAGACAGTTAATCCATAGCAGCCTGGCCCTTCTTGCCTTGGAGCCTCCCTATGCCAACCCTATTCTCCCAGAAGATGAGAAAGGGACACCCCCCATCTCTAGCTACCCACCCTCTCCAACAGCAACTTCAGAGGTGGGAACACAGTACTTAAACCAGGGGAATGCAAGGTGGGAGGTCCAACAAGCCCAGATGTCACTGTGTATTCTCAACCTGCCCTACTCATCCGGATCTGCAGAGAAAGGTTTGTTCTGGCAGGGCTGGCTTCACAAGGGCAACAACTACTCATTTGAATTAGCCTTGGAAGAAGAGGACAGGCCCCTTAGACTGAAACCTATACTCAAGGCTGAAAAGTATTGCATAAAAGTGTTTGTTTTCACACGCTAAGTCTGGGCGGTTTGGAAACACATGCAGATAGGACAGTCTCTGCTGGAGGAGGGATGGAAAAGCTGAGGCACTCTATACTTTGCACAAATCTCCATCCATGTTGAATCTCTTAATTTTACTGAAAAGGAGCAAAAATACAAAAGGGAAAACAGAACATGTCTCATTTCTTGCTAAAAAGGCAGAGGAGCCCTGGCTGTGTGGTGCTTGGTGCTGGCCATAAAACCTGCCTGAGGATTCACACAGGCTTCTAGGCAGGACCTGCACCTTGCCCTGCATCTGTGCCACTGCAGCTCTGCTCAGACAGTGGTTACACCTATGTGAGCTGCACTTCTAATGTGGTGTGGGTCTGACCCAGCAGAAAATATCCTCCATTCAGAGCTTCCTGGTGTGTTTTCTGGCCCCATTTGCTGTGCCATTGGTGACCCCAAACCTCAAAGCAGCCTTAGTCCTGCTGGGCTTTACTAGCACGTGTAAGGACTGTGTAGACACCATTTCTTAGCTAAGCTGCCTGTATTGCACAGCCAACCCATCAGCTGAACTTGGGCAAAGGAATAACAGAGTGCAGGGGTTGCTACAACTGCAGAGAGCGCTGGCCTAAAGGGCTCGCTCTCCTCACCTCGAGAGGCAGCATGGCTGGCGGTGGCTCCTCAGTGCTGGTGGGCCTCTCTGAAGCTCCTGAGCAGGGATCTAAGCTCCAGTTATGGTCTTGTGATTCGTTTGGAAATCAGCAAGACCAGCTACAGCTTTGCTTCCCAAGTCAGGGACATGGGCCGCTGGGTTATGAAAAAACACAAGCCCTACTGAGACCTTCCTCCAGTGACTAGGGGGGCTGCTGAGAGACTCTTCTTCCATTCACCCCTCCAGGGGCAATGTGGGTAAGCAAACCACTACTGTCAAGGCTGAGGGGATCAAAACAATGGGAAAGAAATTAAGGCAGTGTAAGTAAAATTTGTGGGTTGAGATAAAGACAGTTTAATAGGACAGAAAAGGAAGAGATGATAATAACAACAACAATAACAAATATACAAAGCAAGTGATGCACGATGCAATTGCTCACCACCGGACAACCAATGCCCAGCCCATCCCCGAGCAGCAGTCACTGCCCCTCAGCCAACTCCCCCCAGTTTATATACTGAGCATGACATCATATGGTCTGGAATAGCCCTTTGGCCAGTTGGGGTACGCTGTCCTGGCCGTGTCCCATCCCAGCTCCTTGTGCACCTGGCAGAGCAGGGGAAGCTGAAAAGTCCTTGACTGGTGTAAGCACTGCTGAGCAACAACTAAAACATCAGGGTGTTACCAACATTATTCTCACACTAAATCCAAAGCACAGCAGTGTACCAGCTACCAGGAAGAAAATCTATCCCAGCCGAAGCCAGGACATCTTCTCTGAGTGGAAACAGGCAGACAGAAGCACCAACATAGCTTTGTAAGCAGAAGCCCCCTCCTCAAGTGCTCTTGCCCGCAGCTCCACTGCCGCAAGCCTGCCAGCAGCTCAGGAGACATGAGCAACTCCAAGGAGGGAACAGAGCACTAGGCTGTGAACACAGCAGCCACGAGTGTGAACATCCCCCCATGGACTGACCTGCTGTGTGGTCTTTCTGCCTTAGTGCCGCTATTTGTAAGAGGGAATCAGTAGTCCCTCCTGCACAAAGTGGCTTGCAATCACCTTGCAGGGCAACCCCATGGAAATGACCAAAGATCAGAGGTCTGGGCTGATCCTGTAACCGATACATTACCTACATGAGTGGGAGAAGCCAGCTGCAAAACTTGGCCTGTGTGACAGCTCTGCTTCAGGGGAACAGAAGCTTAAACTGTTTTAGCTGAAACAACCCTACAGCAAGGAGCAGCCAGCCAGCATTGCACTCTCTGCCTTGGTTTTGCTGTCCTGGTGACAGTCATGGCTACCCGTATGTACCGGGTCTGGCTGGGATGGAGTTAACATTCCTCATAGCAGCCTGTAAGGTACTGTGTTTTGGATTTGTGGCTAAAACACTGTGGACAACACACCAATGTTCAGGCTATTGCTGAACAGTGCTTGCACAGTGTCAAGGCTTTTTCTCACTCTGCTGAGCCCTCTCCACTCCCCAAGCCAGCAGATGTGGGATAGGTAAGAAGCTGGAAGAAGATGCAGCTGGGAGAGCTGACCCAAATTGGCCAAATGAATATCCCATACCATACCTCATCATGCTCAGCAATTAAAAACTGCAGGCGTTTGTCTTCCAAGGTAGCCACTGCTCAGAAACTGGCTGGCCATCAGCTTGTGCATGGGGGTTAGCAATTGCCTTTATATCACTTGGTTTTGGGTTTTTTTCCCCTCTTTCCTTCACTTATTAAACTGTCTTCATCTCAACCAATGAGTTTTCTCACTTTTGCTCTTCTGCTCTCTCTCCTATCCTGCTAGTGGAGGGGGACAGTGGGTGCTTGGCTGCTGGCCACAGTCAACCTACCCACCCACAAGGCAAATCCACCAACAGCAACAAATGCAGGTGCCTGGGCAAGGCTGGTGTCCTAGGCATGGAGGCACACACATGTACACAGGACAAAACGTAGTTTTACAGGGGATAAAAAAGTAAATAAAAGATACCCAAAGGTCTGGGTGGGGTACCACATTACCCTTTTTAACTGCTTTGTTACTACGATCGCTTGAAGTGGTGTTCTCACTTGATGAAAGAGACTGTTCTCCCAGGCCTCCTGCAAAGGAAAAAGAGCAGAGACACATCTCCCGGTGAGTAGGCTGGCAGAGCTCTGACGCGGGAAGGGCAGCGGCTGTCAGTGATGCCATTTGGGGTCTGCAGCCACAGAAACTGGCTGCTTTCCCTGTACAAGGAACAAGGACTAAGAGCCTGATAAAGCTGGGCTCTTTTCCTGGATTTGTTCCTAGCTTACAGTGACATCTTGCAACTCATTACCATCCTGTGCTCTAGTTTCTCCATATACTGAATAGGCAGAAAGCCTCTTCTAGGGAAGGCTACTTTCACGGGCATATACCGAGAATAGGAGCTATACTATTGTTGCCACCCTCCTTGTAAGCACCACTGTTAAATTTCAAATTAAAAAAGGTACACTTCAAGGCAAAGAATGATCCACATTCAGACCAATAACCTCTATCAACTCTCATACATCTAGCCTGAATTCAGCTTCACCTGAAAGTAAAAGTCCTTCTCTGTGAGGTTACTACCGACTGGCTACCAAAGCAGAGAACTGTGTGACGTTAGCTCCTGGGTACTTCCTGTGCCTTGTCTAGCACCAGCTATCCCTCCCTTTTGGAACAGCACTGCCAGGCACACGGAGGTCCCCAGCTTGGCCGCAGAAGTGGCTCCCTCCAGCTCAGACACCAAAACAAAACTGGTTGGTCCCACTTGGAGTGCCTCCCTGCCTGGCTCTCCTATTTCCTCCACGGAAAACTGACTCATGGTGTTCCCGCAACGTGCGATACACCAACGTGCTGGGGGAGGGAGTTGACCGCTTGATGTCGCAGCCATTGGGCCCAGAAACCACAGCAGTTCCACAGCATCTTTGTACCAGCACTGTACCTAACCCGCGCCTTTCCTCCAGACAGCACGGCTGCTTCCCTCCCACTGGCGTGCCGCAATGCAGCATTGCTGGCAGCGGGGTGCAGGGGATGCAGGAGAGACTCCACCAGGTTAGGCTGTCGGGCCGGCACACCAAGAGGGCTGAGAGGGCTCAGTGCATCCAGAATCCTCTACCATAAGATGAAGACTCACAGGGAGATCCTAGGTCCCCAGAAAAGTCACATTGCTAGGGAACGGAGATAGAGACCCCTGTCTATAGCCCCTACTGGTCTTTTGATTGTTAAAGTACCATGACATTTAGCAATAGCCCAGTTCTTGACTAGTTTTTCTGATGTGTGACACAGAAACAGGATCTTCCCTCAACACTGGATCCATTCTGCCATGGAAAAAGATTTAACATGTTACCCGTTGCCAGAAACTCATATAAAACAAACAATAACCTGTTCACACTTCTGTTTCAGAGGACTTCAGAATAGTTCTGCTCACTGTAAAGGAAAACACCAACTGCGCAAACCCACCTGTGCTGCAAGAGCAAACTGAGATCTCCCTCCCTTACACAATGTTACCACTAAAGTCTGATTTCTATAAGCACCGTTACATCCACCATGGTACCTACAACCCTAAGGTCTACAGACAACCCTCCCATGAACAGCACCTAAGAGAGAATCACAACCAGGTAAGACAGGAGAAGGACTGAGTTCCACTTCATATTCAGAGGTATTTTCTCAATATTGGTTTTTTGTGGTATTTTTCAGTTTCTTAAAGATGTCTAAATGAATAAAAAGTTCGGAGTGCTTAATGATTTTACACCCTACCATAAAATCTACCCAAGAATCTGCTGATTGTCCCACCAAGGGGAGGGGGGAGGAAAGGATGGAATCTCCAACATGAGGAACTGTGTACCTTAAAGCCTCTCAAGGCTCGTTTAGATGTCTCTTGCCTGTTTGCAAAAAAATACATATGAATTCTAAAAATCAACATCTGTACTTTTCAATAGGTACAAATCTTCATACTTTAAACCAGAATTCTACAAGGAAGGGGCCTGGGACATTTCACACTGCTCCAGCCTCTCACTACGCTGGCAACCTGAGCTATGCCAAATGCAATCTTCCAGGTAGCATTTAAAGTTCCTGGGACAGCTTTCCACTTTTGGCCATCTCTTACACGCAGGTTGACGAACAATCATACAGTCTTGAGATCTGAATTCTATCTAGTACCAGCAGCTGCTGTGTGGGGTGGGAGACAGCACAAGGAGATGATCCAGCAGCAAGACAACCTTCAGAACAGGGAGAGTAGAAGAAAAATTCAGTTAAAGGGACAGAAAAATGGTTGGAAAACAGGGGAGGGGGAAGAGAGAAGAACAAGGCTCTGTCTTCTGCAGCTGTCTGTCTTCCAGGTTCCCTGGGCTTTTCATTTTGCAAGGTCCAACTTGGGAACACCATAGAAGCCAGAGCGCAACTACACAGGGTAGAGAAACCTGGGCAGGAAGCCACTGAACAGTCACAGACCCAACATGGAAAACCAACCCAGCACCTCTGCAGCAGGAAAGCTCTCTGTGGTGACTGTAGTAGGAGGGAGAACTCAAAAACAGTGCCCAGGGTGAGAAAGCACAACACGTGAGACAGCAAGATGCATAACAGATAAATAAAACGTGTTTTGGGACTACATTGACAGCCTTAGGAAGGTGGTGCTGATACCACCACTGTTGTCCCCCTTCCTCCTTCCCCATCCTGTCACCGTGGTTCCCCTGTGAGCGCAAGGGAGGCTGAATGACCTGATCTCTGCAGAGTCATTAGCAAGAGCAAGTTTCTCCAGCCTTGGTGGCAAGATAATGCTGGAATAGCATGATCAACCACCATATGGAGAAAGGGAGATACTGTTAGTCATACAGCACTGCTGGATGCTTTGTGGACACTTCAAGAGAGATGTCCCACTTTTCAGGAGAGCTGGACATCTTCCAGCCCCTGAACCAGTCTTGCTTTGCCAGCTGGAAAACTCTTCTTTTTGCTCTGGAGCTGGCTTCTTGCAAACCCTTCTCCAGCCCCTCTAAGGGGGCAAGGACAGGGGAAAAGGTGCATCTCTGACACCTTGGAGGAGGGCTGGGAGGATGGTATCAAATTCTACCTCTCCGACATTATACTACTATATTGGAATGTTACTATATATTACTAATTAGAATATCAGGAAAGGGATGATGAAAGACAGCAACAAAATGAATCAGAGGAAAGTAAAATACTCAGGCTCTCAGCTGACTATAGGTTAAAGCTTCCTGGTCCAAGGGACGCACTAAATCAGGGGATTGTCTCCCAAAGGAAGTGCCATAATTTAACAGAGCTTGACTGGACAAAAGCCACTAGATGTGTGAACAGGAACAAGCCTGATTCAACAAGATGGATTGCTCTGAACTCTATCACTCTTTTCCAGCCTCAATGTCCCATCCTAAGATTTCCCTTTGTTTTCTTTCATGCCCAGTCCTCGTCATTTCCTTAAGCCCAAGCTCAACAAAAGTTCCTCTTCTCAGTTAAATTCTACATCCCCAGGACTCCTCACTCCCCCAAAGTATGCTATTCTTCACACAATATCCCATTTGATTTAAAGGAAACCCCAACCAGCCATTCACCACCAGAATTATTAAGGCATGTGGTCTTTGCTGAAGCAAAGGATAATTTTGTATTTCTAAATAAATGCAGCTTGCTTCCAGTCACAAACAGATTGCTTCTTAATTGAACTTGGGAGGTGAATTATATGGTGAATTAGGAAAAAAGAACAACTCTGCATTTAGTGAATTGTTCCCCTAAGAGGGAACTGTATGGGATTGAATTGCAAATGATGGCACCAAACCCTAGAGCCGGGCCCCCTCTCCTGCACCCAAGCTGCTGACCTCTGCCGTGCTGCAGTGTCATTTGCACAGACCGCTTTTCCAAGCTGCGAGCACATTCTTTCCCAGAGATCAGTGCAAGCCTTGGTTTCTCATGCAAAGGAGATGTTTGAATAAACTAGTGTGACTAATGAAATCTACAACATCTTTGCATATTTTGTCTCATTGTGGCCGATGAAAAGGGAGAGCCCTACACAAAGGCCAGATATGGGTGTGCAGATACACCGGATATTTTCAAACACTACTAACCTTACTCATGTGGACAGGGAGCACCCATACCCTTCTCTCCCGCAAGGGTGTTTTTAATCATACATGAGAATTTTGGAACATCCTGTTCCGACTCACTTGAGCTTTTAGATGTTTCCTATCCTTATGATACCTAAACAAATCCCAAAGATTAAAGAGACTTTACAGATGTTTAGTCCTCTGTTCTGATTCTTCCCAAGAGAAGGCTAATGCCTGATCCTAGCAGAACCAAGACAAGTAACTGACATGCCATAATCAATAAATAAGAAAGCCAAGAAGTGCACCTTGCATCTGGAAGCAGCTGCACATACGTTGCAGGCAATGTGCAGGTCCTGTTGCCCCCTCAACACGTTCCTGAAGTTGTACCTCTCTGTCGGACTATTCTGTCACCTCCAAGAGCAGAGTGGATTCCAGCACTACTGCTCCAGAGCGTGAAATGCCCGCATATGTATTGAGGCCTATTATCATAGAAACACTGAAGATGAAGAATGGAGATTCTCAGTTTGACACAACGCTCCGTGGAAAGCCAATACAGTAATAAAAATGCAGCCTTGGTCTACCGCTTACAGAAGGCTGTAATGAGATGAGCAAAGCAGGATTGACTTTTCTGGTTTTTAATGTATATCCAGCAGTTAACAAGCCCTCCAAGACCACTTTCATCCCCAGTACTTCCCACCTGCTGCTGTGCCAGACCAGCCATTGCCTTTCTCCAGCCTGTTTAAGCTTTGTCTGCTTCTCCCACAACCAGGGATAATACAGAATTTGTTAGATTGTGCCTTCATGCAGGGAGCAGTACTAGATCGCCTAAGCTCTTCTAACTCCCGCATTTTTGTGTTTCAATCCTAACAATTTGTCCTGCTTAACAGCTACAACCCCAGCAGGACACCGCTGGACTCCCAAAGCAGGTAACTCAGTTTCTGTGCACGACCTGGCAGAGAACACAGAAGAGATTCTCCACCCAGGGTGGGAATGTTTCACCTTCTACCTACAGTACACTTGTACAACAACTCGTTTTTCTGTTTCCCACAGACCAG